CACGCGGCCGGCAGCTCGGCTCCCACGGGACGGGTCGCCACGATCCCCGCGGTTCGTACGCCGCCTACGGGAGAGGCGAAACCCACGCGTCGCTTAGACTCGGTCGTTGAGGTCGCAATTTCGCGTGGAATGACGCGCGCGTGTGCGCGTGTCCACGTGCGCGTCTTGCGCACTCTGGGTTAGTGCGCTACCTCTGCTGTGCCGCCATTCACCGCGATGGTAAGCAGAGAGTTCGGTAATCGAATGGAATCGTCACTGAATTGTGACGAATCGTCGGAGGAGGAGCAGTGGTGGTGGGGTGGGGTTCCGGAGCATCGATTCTCATCGCTACCCTGACCCGCCAGGAGATGGGAACTCGATTCGTTCCATCATTATGTAATCGAGTGTTGCCCCCTCGCATGTGTGGCTTTTCTCGGGGTGCTCAGTTTTTCTCCTCCTCCTCCTCTCTTCGATGGCGAGCGTCTACTGTGCGGTGGACCGCAGCCCAGTACAAGTTGAAATTGTTGTTATCGCTATTTGTTTTATTGCATCGCAACAAGTGGTGGTATCGCTGGGGCGAGGTGAATCTACGAGAGGCATGGCCGAACTGCGCCTCGCGAGCTGCGTGCGGGCCCTCTGCCAGTCCAATGGACACACAAAACTCGGATAATTTGGCGTGGTCATTTGTAATAGTTTCAACACAATCGTCGATTTGAAAGAGGAAGAAATCTGCGGAAGCCCGTGCAGCTCGGGGCACTCGCGAGCGGCTGCCTCCTGTCGACTCGCGACCGCTGCTGGCCTAGCGGTAGGAACCGTGCCGTGCCGTGAGCAACGCTGCAGGCCGGCGGGTGAACTCGCTGCAACTCTCTTGGAGACCGTGACCGCCGGCCGCGTGGCTCTCTGCGTGCGGAGCCGCGGGCACGCAGCCCTGGGGAGCGGCGACGCGGGGAGTTCACGCCCCCCCACCCCCTTGTCCACGAACCCGGCCACCCGAGTTCGATTCCCGCTCGTGGCCTAAACCGGTAACGGAAATCGGAACCGGTCCTGGGCCTCCTGATAGAGTCGACTCAGCTTGACGATGGGTACTTGGTGAGGTGTGTAAACGTCAGCGCTGGGGAGACAAAGGCGGCCAGGCGCTGTCCACAGCCGCCCCTCGCATGCCGTGGCGGTCTTCATCGGTGCTGCTCGCTCACAGCACTCGCCCTGGCGGTCTGTGAGACGCTACGGGGAGTGGGTTGTCTTTGTGTGCAGGGCCATCTGTGTGTGTGGGAGGTGCGGGAACTAATAAACAACAAACAACAACAACAACAAGAGATATGACAACGTTACATCAATTTGGCAAATTGTCAAACCAAACGCTAAGAGGTTCTGGTTTAAACCCACGGTTCAATTCTCTTACACATTTCAGGGGGGTTGGGGGATTGGGGGGTGTTTTTTTTACTTTTTTTTGCAACCCGCTCGCAACCCGCGCCGCGCGCCGCGCCTCATCCCTCGCGGCCACCGCCGCGTGACTGACAGCGCACGAGTCGGGTCAGGGGTCACGGTAATCTGTGACCCTCTGCATCTCTTTAAGGTCACCGTCTCACTCGTGTCAGCGCTGGACGAGCGCTTCCGTAACAGGAGAGGGAGAGAGCGAGCGAGAGGGAGAGAGAGGGAGCGAGAGGGCGCCCGCCAACGGGAATATCGGCGTGGAGCCTCGCGCCTATTGGCTTGAAGCCTCGCGCAAGCGGAGGAGGAGGTGGAGGAGGAGGTGTTGGTGGAGGAGGAAGTGGTGATGGTGGTGGTGGTGCCAAGTCGGGCGCGACGCGCACGGCTCGCATGGAGCGCGGCAGAATTCATGAATCGCATCTCGGATTTCGACGACAAACGAAATCCATTTGTTACAAATGAATGAAGACGTGTTTGTTGGTGAAATATTTGCGTTTTTCTGTGTTTACTCGGGCTTTGATTTTATTTCCCTTTGCGCCACCTGCGTGAAAATCAAAACAATTTGCCGCCTTATAGCAGCGGATGCGGCGGCGGCGCGCGCGGGGAAAAGGCGCCGGGATTAGGGCGTCGCGATCCTCGGCTCACTCGTCCCGTGGCACCCAGAGCCCTTTGATTTCGAGATAAGAGTCGTCACAATGGCATTTAGGGCACAGTGTTCATCTTTTATTCATCTCCAGCCCTTTCGAGAGTGGAGCTCGCTTGAGCGTCATTTTCTCGCTTCCATTTCCGCGCGATGTGTGGGGGTTGTGTTTTCTGCTTTTTAAGTTCCTAACGTTGGCCACCGTTCTCCAGTTCGCGGGGAGAAAAAAAACAACGTCAGTTTCAAACACTGAGCTCACTATAAACACATTTTACAATATGAACGTACATTTATCAAACACATGCTCAACGTACTTTAAAATTACATGAACTGGTCTGGACGACATTGAGAAAGACCGAGATGGCAATACGAACGTGATGTCACGCGCTGTCCGCAATCGCAGTGTTTTATTTGTAATCTGCCCTGCAGTAAAAAATGTGTCTCTGTGTCGCTCTCAGAAAATCCAGTTGGTTTTTTTTCATTTACAGATTAATTATGCGTGTCTCTATTCCGTAAATATATTATTTATATGATGGCAGTGTGCGTATATGTATTATGCATGTACTATATACACACACACGGACACACGAGACCTACTTTTTTGACTTGGGTATAACTTTCAAGATGGTATCGTGAAGAACTCTGAGCTGTTATCTTGAGAAGTAAGTCCCTAGTGGCTTTTATCAAATGAGAGGCAGAAAAAGACCCATTATGTCGCGAGAGGAATCGGCTTATGTTCCAAACCGATTGGCAACGGCTCACGTATTCTCGCTGACATTTAAAGAATGCTAAATAAAGGCGTAAAAAAAACAGCCTTGCAAATAACTTTTCAAAAAACCCACCCCAAACAGAAAAAAGCGATACACTTCCACAAGCAAACATCTCAAAGAAATCAAAGGCAGCGTCGTTCTCGTGAAAACGCCCGTGAATAATTCATGAGCTGGGATTTTTGTGCACAACACAAACTCCTTTTAACCTTCGTGACCTCTGGTAGAGCTCTATTTTTCTCGAGCCGTCCTCGTGCCAAAGGACCGCCCGAGGAGGATGGCGGAGCGGAGAGCGTCGCCTCGTCGTGGTGGGGGCCTGGCCAGGAGTCGTCCTCTCCTGCCACGGCGAGCAGCGAGCCGTCCATCCAGGATGCTTCTTTCTCAGGGCTCCTGCCGTGTACAGCAAAGTGACTCCCTCGAAATAATACAAATTTGAATCGCCAGGGCACAATGGTTCGTCATCTTTGGCCCTCGAGTCATCGTGAATGCGTGTCGCCGCCGTATGTCAGGAGCTATAATGATGTTGAACATTCGTCCTTCGTTTCTTTTCGGTTTGATCGTTGTGTGGGTATAATGGTATCATGGTATAATGACAAAGTTTAACCATTGTAGCCCGTCACCGCCCGACAGAGCCAGTGACGTCGAGTTGTCACGTGGGGCAAATGTGCCAATTTGGTTTATGAACACAACTGGAATATTATAGAAAACAAGCAAAATGTTGACAACGCATACAGACACGTTTCGTTGGAGACGACAACCACCGCCATCAGGCGCCGACTGTATGACCTGACTTCCACACAGGTCAGTGCGGATCACAACATGAAATCTGAAATCTTCTTTTTCAATCCCAACCCCCTCCCTTCTAATACAGTATTATCTCATAATGCCTTTCCTCGGGACCGTCTTGCACAGCCTCGGACATGTTGTTTACATCCGAGTCGGAGGTCAGCTCCCCGCTGGGCCGTGGCTGAACATTTATCCCCGTTCCCTTCTCTCTTCTCCCTTTTCTCCGCACCTTTTCTCGGCAAAAAACCTGCAGCCCTCAACTCGCTGCCCTTTTTCTCAATGCCCCCGCCACTGTCCCTAATCATAGCACCCCCCCCCCCGCCTCCTGCCACAATCGTAATGTGAATTCAGGGGAGGATATTGCTGCTCACGCAAGCACGCCCTTTGCACCGTTCGGTGGTGTCCGGCCTCACCCAGGCCCGTGTCTCTTACATCTTGTGCAGCCCGCTCCCTCCCCATGCACCCTCTGGTCACTGCTGCAAATGTGCGGAGTTCGTCTGCTCCCCCGCCTGTTCTGCCTCTGGATGCCCCCCCCCCCTGTAGCTGAAGCCTACAACAGTCGTACGTAGTAACCGGCACTTGGCCAAAAACATCGCGGCGCTGCGTAATTGACTTGCAAACGACTCCGCTGCCGATCACAGACCGCGGAACCATCGCCACCCTCCCCCCCCTTCCCCTACCGCGACCAAGTTGGCAGGACCCTCCTGAAACAGTCTTGAGACTCGGCCATCCGTTTCCTGGCTAAACAAGCGGAATCGTCCTCATGAAATAGAACTTGAAACACAGCTGATGGGTAAATGTCCATGACTCGGGAATGCGCCATTATCGCGCGCACACAACTCGTGCCAATCTTTTTGTTCTCTGCAATGGCTCGCTCCCGTCACGGTCGGCAGAAACGCCTCCACGAGAGAGCGCTCCAGAGAGCCCCTGTAGGAGGTATTCGGTTTACCCTTCCGCGCTGCCCAGAAACTTTGTAAGAGGTGGGAGTACCCACACTTTACCTCACCGCCTATCCACTAAGCGCGCCGCGCGTGCTGTGGTTACGCTGCTGCCGCTGCTGCTGCACGCACAGAGGCGGTGGTGGAGGGAATTTCAGAAACTTGCGGGAGATCAAACGACCCGTCTGCCTCCCGAGTGCGCCACCCAACACTGAACACCGCTTAAGCGCTGCACACCGCGCTACACCGCTTCAACGCACGCGCTGTGTGTTCGTCGCTTAATTAAGAGGCTCCCCACCACTGCGCCATGCTCTCGAGTCCTTTACAGCGCCTCGTAAAAAAAGTGCCAACGATGGCGCTTCATGGAGACGAACGCGGCGCGCGAAGCGTCCGGTTTTGGTTGCGCGCAGTCAGCCCGCTGAGACTCCTCACGACCCCCCCCCCCTCTCTCTCTGTCCACAGGGCCGGCGTTCTGGGGGCTCGTGAACTCCGGCTGGAACTTGTGCTCCGTCGGCAAGAGGCAGTCGCCGGTGGACGTGGAGACGGGACGGATGATCTTTGACCCTTTCCTGACCCCGATGAAGATCAACACGGGCGGCAGGAAGGTAAGGGGCTCCAGGCCCCCCTTTAGCCACCCTCGCGAATTGGTGAAACGCGCGAGCGACTTCGCTGAATCAGCGCAGTGCCGCTCGCTCGCTCGCTCGCCTCGCCTGAGACTCAGCGAGGGCCGGCGCCGTGCGGTCGCCACCCCCGGCGAGGGGTGAATGGCGCGAGGCTGTCGCGGGGCGCGGTGATGATGAAGCCCGCCGGGCCGTCGGGATTCTCCGACCCTCTCGCTTCGTGCGAAAGCGAAGCGTCTCGAGTCGTCTCCTGGGAGAGGCCACGCACTGTAAATGGCAACGACGTTGACTCATCCACGCAGTCGGGGGGGGGGATAGGCACGCGGCGCAAATCGGTGCGAGCCACATCGCCTCGCGTCGCTTCGGAATGCGTCTCGAGTCCATACACGAAGCGTCGTACATGTCAGATTTCTAACGCGTCTTCCGTAGGCGGTAGGTACTGACGTTAACTATCGCGTGTCTTTATCACGCCGCTTGATTTTGAGGACTTTTTTTAGCAGCCCATCATTTTTTTCACGGTCGATAAAACAGGCACCACTTTGTGCTAAAGTAGATGCACTCCCCCCGCCATAGGAATGTGGAATCTCCACGGCTGGCTCATGGCTGTAAACAGGAGACAAGCACCAATGCCCCAATGCTCATTCGAACAGAAATCGCTTTGACTTTGCACACCTCAGCTGATGAGACGATGTGCCCTGGTGGAGCCTCAACCGTCGTGTGAGTGATCCACCAACCTTCACTGCCTCCACAGTGCCACATTGCAGGTCACTTGCAGCATGCCCACCAGCGTGTCTACGTGCGTGTGAGTGTGTCTACGTGCGTGTGAGTGTGTCTACGTGCGTGTGAGTGTGTCTACGTGAGTGTGTGTGTGTCTACGTGAGTGTGTGTATGTCTACGTGCGTGTGCGTGTGTCTACGTGAGTGTGTGTGTGTACGTGTCTACGTGAGTGTGAGTGTCTACGCGTGTGTGTGCGTGTCTACGTGAGTGTCTACGTGAGTGTGTCTATGTGTCTACGTGAGTGTGTGTATGTGTCTACGTGCGTGTGTGTGTGTGTGTGTCTACGTGCGTGCGCGTGTGTCTACGTGAGTGTGTGCGTTGACAGAGATACAATTCAAACAACAATTTCCCCACGGTGAAAACCAGCATTCAAATGAAAAAAATATCTGTGCTAAAAAAAAGACAAAAACACACAGCACGCCCCCTTCTCCTGCCGTATGCTGGCAATGCCACGTGTCCAATAGTCTACAGATACCATCGTGATAATAAGAAAATATTAAAACAGAAAAATGGCATTTTCCAAATTAAATCTGTTCACCGATGCGGTGGGCATGCTCCTTCCCTTGGGTTGGTCGCCTCTGTCCCTCGTTTGTCCATCGGCTGTCATCCCCTGTGAGCACGTGTCCTGTTCACAATGACCGAACGTGTGGACGCGGCACAGCTGCCCAAGATGGATTGCGTCCACGCGAATGACATATCGAGGAGAACAACCAGGCCTTGGAGAGCCGGGGCGAGGCGCATGCTTGGAATGACATTGGGAAGGCAGAGAGACGCATGGATGAGAGCCGTCATCCACACCGCGGTGTTTAAACAACGAAGTGGACGATGGTCACGATTAATAATTGCGTGACGCATACTCTTTAGTTCTTTCGGTAAAGTCACGTAGGTAGAGATAAAATAAAATAAAGGACCAAAGAGTATAGATTCCTGCAGTCACAAAGCTTCAAATCAGAATTGAGTGACGGTCAAGGAACGGAACGCGTCCGATGGGATGTCCGCTCCAGGAGGTGGAGCGATGACATCGGTTCGTGTGCTAGTCGCTCGACAGATCGTCGCATCGCGGGGGTTCTTGAGAGGCGACGTCGACCTGGCGAGGCCTTCATCCAGCAGTGGCTAGACCACGGCTGCCGATGACGAAGGCTCCCCGAGCCGTGGACGCGACGCGCACGCCCGTGCCGCGTGCTGCGCCCCTGGCGGAGCGCGCGGTGCCCACGACGACCGCGCTCGTTCCGGGTGACTCCGCCCACGTCGTGGCAGGAGACGCGCGGCAGCTTCGCCTGCAACGGACTAAACTTTGCGCGCGATCTGGGGGACTTCGTTGCTTGACAAAATACCGAGCCCACGATCAGTCGGTGGTCGTGTGGATGATTTGCGGCGGGGTTCGGGATCGCGAGTGAAGCCCTCCAAGGCTGCTGGCCAGGACTGAGCGCGGTCTCTCGTCGCCGGCTGTAAGCGGCTGCTCACGCGAGAGTCGCAGTGAATCTCCGCTCGCTAACATTCACGGATTAACGCGCCGGCGCTCCTTCCTGGTCCTCCACTGCTTTGTCGACGCGTGTGTGAGTGTGTGAGTGAGCGAGTGTTTACGTGTGTGTGAGTGTGTGCGTGAGTGAGTGTGTGTGAGTGAGTGTGTGCGTGTGTGAGTGGGTGCGTGTGTGTGTATGTGAGTGCGTGAGTGTGTGCGTGTGTGTGAGTGGGTGCGTGTGTGAGTGCGTGAGTGTGAGTGTGTGCGTGAGTGTATGAGTGCGTGAGTGTGTGTGTGAGTGAGTGAGTGCGTGAGTGTGTATGTGTGAGTGCGTGAGTGTGTGAGTGCGTGAGTGAGTGCGTGCGTGTGTGCGTGAGTGTGTGATTTTGTGAGTGTGTGAGTGAGTGTGTGAGTGAGTGAGTGTGGGAGTGCGTACGTGAGTGTGTGAGTGCACGCGTGAGTGTGAGTGTGGGAGTACGCGCGTGAGTGAGTGTGCGTGTGTGAGTGCGTGTGTGCGTGAATGAGAGTGTGTGCGTGTGTGAGTGCGTGCGACGTACTGCAGATCTATTCGCCGTTTGCGTGAAATTCACGTGACGATATATTTTATTTCACCCTGGACACCCTCACAAACAAGATGTTCCATCCAAATGGATTATTAATTATCCAAGTAAAAATATTCTGTCTCGTCAAGTCATCTATTTGTGGTGATAGATTGAATGGACTAATTGCCCCATATCTGAGATGTGTGTAAACTATATCCGTTTTCTTTCCTTGCGCGTGATAATAATAGTAATGCACTGCCTGATAATTGTTTTTTTACCCTTTTATCTGGCAACAAAACTGACGCTTTTTTTACAAGGAGTCATGTTTGCATAGACCACAATACCTGCAGTCATAATGCAAAAAAAGCATAACTCTGATAATGTATGCACTGTCCTTGAAGTTGATTGGTCCACACCCGAGACAGCTTTCCTTAGAGCCTAGTCTGACATTGTGTTGGACCAGATGACATCAAAAGGCGCCTTTTCAGATGACGCCAAAAGGTGCCTTTTGGCGTCATCTGGTCCAACACCATGTGAGACTAGGCTCTAAGAAAAGCTGTCTCGGGTGTGGACCAATCTACTTCAAGGACAGTGCATACATTATCAGAGTTGTGTTTTTTTTTGCATTATGACTGCAGGTATTGTGGTCTATGCAAACATGACTCCTTGTAAAAAAAAGGTGTCAGTTTTGTTGCCAGATTAAAGGGTAAAAAAACAATCATCATATTTTTTACTGGCAAATGAGGTTCCAATGGTGTAAATGCACTGCCTGTTTCGTCAATCCACTGCTAAATTGAAGGCTTTCCTACGCCGCGTAGCACGTGTAGGATGCGTCACCATGCGTCACCACACGTCACCATGCGTCACCGCGCGTCACCACGCTGGTCAGTGCTGGTCGATGAAGGTGATCTCGTCAGAGCTGGGAATCTAAGCAGAGCTGGGCCTGGACAGAGCTTGTGATGGGTGACCGCCGCCATGCGCACAATAGACCGGTGTAGTAGCCGTTGTGGGCAGTGCATCGAGACTCACTTTGTTCTACCCCCCCACCATCGCCAACACCAATTTTTGTTTTACCAAGTTAGGGCCCACTGAGCTATGTAGCTCTTTTTTAGAAGCGATCTGGAAACAAATGATAGCTCAACGAAGTGGCTCATCATCACGTGGAAATGTATAGCAGCAGCCAAATACTCTAAACGCATGTTGTCGATTTAAATATGTGGAGAGAAAAACCGGAGGACCTGGAGACAATCCACGCCACCATGGGAGGAACATGCACACTTCAAATATGCAGCATGCGTCAAGGTGAGATCGAACCCATGTCCTCCTGTATACCAGGCGAGGTAGTTAACGTCTCGCCACTGGTGCCACCAACGTGGTGAAGTATGGTCAAATATCTCTGACTCATGCAGCCAGCTATGGCTACAGGGTTTGGTGGTACATGTTGTTTATGACGTTTATTGTGAAATTTTGGTCACAGTTCCTATGGTCACTGTTACATTGCTTATGGCTTTATTTTGGTGATTTCGAAAAAGTTTTTTGGTTTGGCCATGTTTGTTTGTTGTAGTACAGAGTTAGAATGATGGCTTTAATCTAAGTTGTCTTGTGGTTGTTGTTTGACTTGCATCCCACTGGGATTTTTGCACAGCGTTAGTGTACGGTGCTTTTTTTCTGGAAGACTTTGCAGTTTTTTCCTGGATTTTTCTGTTTGCGCATAGTCACTTTAAGATGTTTTCTTGATCATGTTTTTGTTTTTTGTTTGTTGCGGTTGCACCCGATTCAAGAGCCGAATGGCTCACAGGGCTATACCAAATAAATGAAACTGAAATGAAATGAAACTGCTTCCAGCAGCGGACTGACGATACCGGGGGCTGCACTCGTGCGGTGGCGCTCGGCGAGGGTGAGCCCGCCCTGTGATCTCGCTCCTGACGAGCCTCCGTGACTCTGCATCTGTCACGGAGGCAGGGACCCTTGGAGGAGGTCAAACTGCCACAGGGCAGTGTTGGTCACGTGCGCCTGTGGGCACGTGCGTGAGGGGCGCGAGCGCGGGACAGCGTTGCACGTTTACTGGGCAGTCGTGTTGACAAATTAGTCTGCGTAACCGACGCGACGCGTCTCCCCGTTTGTGACGTTGAACTGAATAGTGGCTGTCACTAGGCCTGAAGCAGATCAGGGCCTAAAGTTGTCATGAATCTTGAATTATAACC